TGCGCCCGGGGGTGGCACTGCACACCCAGGCCCAGGGCGCCAAAAAGGGCTCGAGCCATCCCTGGCACACCCCAGACGTGATTTGGCATGCTCCCTAGGTGATCTGGCATGCTCCCGCTTCTGCCCCAAGCCAATCAGGGCTGGAGGAGGGGGAGTTCACAAAGTCTCCTCCTGCCCTGCCAGGAGCACACGGCAGGGAGGAGGAAACTCCGTAAGTTCCCTCCATCCCCAGGCCCGGTCTGGGGGAAAGGAGGGACGCGAAGTCTCCTGCCAGGAGTGTGTGGTGCTTAGAAGTGCCACATGCTCCTTGCAAGGCGAAGGAGATTGGCCTGGGGGTGGGGAGAGGCAGGGTCTCCGCAGGCCGGATCAACCCACTTGGTGGGTCGGATCTGGCCCATGGAGGCCCTTTTGCCCACCCCTGTGCTAGAACTTGTCACAGCTTGCGGAAGAAGGAAGAGAGAACTGTTAACCGGCACCTCGCATTGGAAAGAGATGGGGCTGGGATTTACGAAGCACTGAGACTAGAGCAGCGAGGGGCCTAGCAGGGGGGAGAGGATCCCTTGCAGAGGAAATTTGGGTAATAGAGATATTTTTTGTGGTAGGTGCGGGCAGCCCTTTGGAAACACATCGCCGCAGCCTTGTCACATTCGCAGGTGAGCTTCTCGCAGGTGGTTGTACTGCCTGAAAAATAAAGCAGGGTGGGTGTCGTGAGAACAGTACAACAGAGCCAGCGGCAATTGTCTTGAATTCATTGTTGGAGCACATGCAGGTCCTCTTGCAGCATGTCTGAGTGTTGCAGCCAAGCCACCGTATGCGGAAAAGTCACCGGGGCCCAATCCAAAGGCTATTGCCATGTTCACGACAGGCCCATGGGAATCTTTCTATGGACTGCAGTGGGTTTTCATAGAAGCATAGAATCATAGAATAATAGGACTGGAAGGGACCTCAAGAGGTCATCGAGTCCAGCCCCCCGCCCTCAAGGCAGGACCAAGCTCCGTCTACACCATCCCTGACAGATGTCTATCCAACCTGTTTTGGCCCTGCCCTTCACCTACCCATCCTATTACTACTTCATAGAGATTTCTGTGATAACCGTACAAGGCATGGGCCATCATATTTGATGGGGGGCACTCCAAGATTTTGCTAAGTGGTCCTGGAGAGGCTGTGGGGTCGGGGATGGAGGTTGGGTGCAGAAGGGAGTAGAAGACTGGGGTGCAGGCAAGGGTGTGGGATCCGAGGGGGAGTTTGAGTGAAGGAGAGGGATGTGACCAACATTCCCTCTAATCTTTTCTATCCATGTGTGGAATGATTTTTATGTGCACCGAGGCCTGCGTGAATGTGCACCACTAGTAGAAACAACACACCCAGATATGGGCACTCTGCTAATCACTAGGGATGTAAGAGTTTAATCAGTTAATCGATAAGCTGATGCTTATCGGTTCCAGTTTCTGGTTAAACTCCTGTGGGGTCGGCGACTACTGGGAGCCCATGGGGCTAGGAGCCCGTGAAACTGGCAGCCCGTGGGGTTGGCAGACACTGAGATCCCACAGAGCCGGGAGCCAGCAGGAGCCCACAGCACTAGCAGCTGCTGGGAGCCTGCGGCACTAGTAGCCCACGGCACTGAGAGCTCCTTACAGCACTGGCAGCTGCCGGGACTCCGTGGCACCAGCCACCACCAGGGCCGGCAGCATTTAACTGTGTAAGAGAATGAATTGGAAACAAGTACATGGGTAATCATTTGTAACCCTTTTTACATCTCTACTAATCAGCTGGGCGGCATTTGAATCTCTCCTGAGTGGCTGTGCAAGTGCACAGCGTACAGGGAACACTGATTGTTACCTGGGGCAGAGGATTGGGGTGCAGGGTATGGGAGGGGGTATGGGTGCAGGAGAGGATTCTGGCCTGGGGAAGGGGTATAAGAGAGGTGCAAGGCCTGGGAGGGAGTTGTGACCTGGGTGGGCTGTGTGTGAAGGGTTTGGGCGGTGGTCTAGGGCAAGAGCTGGGGTGCAGGAGGGGATGGGGTGCCAGAGGCAGGCTCTGGCTGGGAGGCCCTTACCTAGGTGGCTCTCAGCCAGGAGCCAAGAGCGACCCTCAGGCAGACTCCCCGCCTGCCACAGCCCCAGATGCTCAAAGCACCTGGCTGCTGGGGCCATGTGCCTCTGTGCACGGGGGTGAGGGGAGGTGAGAGGAGGCACATGGCTGAGAGGAGGCTTCATATGCTGCTGCCCCCAGCACAATCCATGGGAGCTGTGAGATTGTGCTGGGGGTGGGGGCAGTACACAAAGCCTCCCCCTCCTGCACACGGCACAGAGAGGTACATGGAGCAGCCCTGGGGCTGCAACAGGCAGGGAGAATGCCTGAGGGTCCCAGCAGAGCAGGCTATGGGCTGGATCCAAAGGCTCGGTGGGTGGATCTTGCCCTGCCCTGTACGACATGTAGAGCTTCTTACCAAGCAGGAAGGTCGCAAATCCATCGCTAGGCGCAGAGAACTGTGGTGAACAGCTCTCAACATTTTGCATTTGCTTTGGAAGACTGGAATGATCTGAGCAGGTCCGAGCAGCTGACGCAGGCAGTACTGAGGAACATGCTCCGTTCCATTCTCGCACGGCAGAAGACTGGCCCGTAGCCTATGCATCAGCTAAGTGCCACGCAAGACCTTGAGATAGCTTGAGCAGAGGCTAATCCTCCTGTCGGAGCCCTGCACAGAGGGAATTCCACCCCAATGCACTATCGGCATTTAGATTCTGCTCCCTGTCCTAGATTCCTGTGCACCTGGTGACATCTGAATTTCCTGGCTGAGCCTAGCATGTGAGCAGCAAGCCAGAAATCACACTGCATGTGACACAGCTAGGGAGAGCACAGGTGGCCTGTTTGACAACTCTGAGCACCTTTAGATTTCTGTGATAACTACCTGTATCAGGGGTGAGCAATATTTTTAATGGGGGGCATTCCAAGATTTTGGTAAGTGGTCATGGAGAGGGTGCGGGGTCTGGGATGGAAGTTGGGTGCAGAAGGGAGTGCAGGTAGGAGACTGGGCTGCAGGAGAGGGAGTGGGATCTGAGAAGGAGTTTGAGTGAAGGAGGGGGTTGTGACCAATATACCCTCTAATTTTTTCCACCCAAGTGTGGAATAATTTTATGTGCACCGAGGTTGCAGGAGGAATAACAGGTAGTCCGAAATAGGGCTTTATTTTGAACGCCCATCTTGCTGCCGCGTGTAGAAGCGGGCAGTTATTCCAGGCTTGTAAATTTCAAAATCTGAGAAGGAGTTTGAGTGAAGGAGGGGGTTGTGACCAATATACCCTCTAATTTTTTCCACCCAAGTGTGGAATAATTTTATGTGCACCGAGGTTGCAGGAGGAATAACAGGTAGTCCGAAATAGGGCTTTATTTTGAACGCCCATCTTGCTGCCGCGTGTAGAAGCGGGCAGTTATTCCAGGCTTGTAAATTTCAAAAAAAATATAT